GTGTCCTGCACAGAGCCCTGACCTCAACCCCACTGAACACCTTTGGGATGAACTGGAACACCGACTGCACCCCAGACCTCCTCGACATCCCAACATCAGCGCCTGACCTCACTAATGCTCTTGTAGCTGAATGAACACAAATCCCCACAGCCACGCTCCAACATCTAGTGGAAAGACTTCGCAGAAGAGTGGAGCTTATCATAACAACAAACACAGGGGGAATAAATCTGAAATGAGATGTTCAACAAACAAATAAGAATGTAGTGACCAGGGTTTCCACATTCTTTTGGCCATATAATGTAATTTCCCTATTGATGAAAATAAAGCTAGAAAAGAAAAAGACTAATAAAGACTCTTTACACCAAAGGCCACATCACCTCTGCTGTTATTCAGTATTTAAAAGTGCAGTACATGGAAGGAAGACTGACAAGCAAGTGAGCATTTAAATAAGTTTAAATATTGAATATATCTGTAGAGTAGGTGTTACCGTTTTATTTAACATTGTTAAAATAAGCTATTCGTATTTCATTGTTTTGGTTTTTATTGCAATGGATTAAGACCCTCTTTTTCAACCATTTTATGGGTTTTATATCCTTGGCCAGGTAAAATGTCATGGCATTAGTGATTCCAGTGCTTACTTATTTTCTTTGCTTTTTTTTCAAGTGTGTTTGTTTACTTCAGTGCTGTTACTGACTGCGGTGTTGTTCACCTGTTCTCCATATCCTTGTCTGCACACTCTACACATAGTTTGGCCATATAGTGTAGTGATATAAGTGCCTAAAATCATTCATGTGAATCTCTCTAAAACAGTATGGTGCATTGACAAGCTGCTTATATAGCACCTGGAAGGCACAGAAAGAAGTTTTGGTCTTTCTGGTAATAAACTAGCAACAATAACAACCACATTTATCCATATATTTAATTATTTATTTTATATGTTCAAGGTCAGTTCTCTGAACTCAAGCGTGTCACACAGGGTTTAATAAACAGGATATGAAATATACAGTTTAAACTCTTACTTCCGGTGTTATGGTCGAGGTGAACAGCTGCAGTGTTTCAGAAATGAGATGTAAAGCAGCTTAGTGTGGTCATGTGTCTATCACTTTATATGGCTTGAAGGACACTTTATAGTGCACTGCATCACATGTTCTGTATCTATTAGAAGGCAATAGATTAAAAACGCCTCTAGATTTGACCAGATCCTGAGTCATTACAAAATCCCAAACCAATAAATACAATTTTACAGAAGATGTGCTACATGTAAAGTTGGGAAGAAAAGTGAAATACTTTGACCTACAAGTGATCATTCTCACACACTGTACTGTTTAGTCTTTTTATATTCATTTCTTCTTTTTACATAATTTTGCACTAATGCATTTTTTTATATAAATGTTCATGTCATCTGTCTTTAAAAGTTTTTTTTTTTTTATATTAAGAGTATAGTTAAGAGTTCCTCATTTTAGAGCTCCTAAAACACTTTCTTTAGAAGTAACTAGAACCTGGATAAGAAAAAAAATAGCCAACTTATTTTAGCCAAGAGTCAGTCTCTTAGCAAGAACCCCCCGAAAAACAGCATTAAACTTACATTTTAACAAATTAACAAAAATATTAATTGAATATGTTCTGGTTAAATGATCATATGAATATTATTAGAGACCCAGATTAAACTCTCGTTTCCGGTGTTATGGTCGAGGTGAACAGCTGCAGTGTTTCAGTGTTTCAGTACTGAGATGTGAAGAAGCTTCTACTGTGATTTAAAAGCTGATGTTTTTGCCCGAACAGGGACTTGAACCCTGGACCCTCAGATTAAAAGTCTGATGCTCTTCCGACTAGATTTTAATAGGCAAATACATAAGAGTCTATGAATGGATCATTATTAGAGTGATTATAATGTTTCTAGCATGTTATATGTTTGGCAACAGTTCTTTTAATCTTAAAAGATGAAGTGTGTAGCTTTTTAGTTCTTTAATAACCATGTAGAAAGACATATCATGGCCATATTCCAGGATGACACTGCCAAGATTCATCAGGGTTAAAATTGTGAAAGAATGGTTCAGAGAGCATAAAGAATCATTTTCACACATGAATTGGCACCTCTGAGTCCTGACCTTAACCTCAGGGAAAGACTTTGGGATGTGCAGGAGGAGACTTTACAGAGTGCTCACCTCTTTCATTGTCAGTACAAGATCTTGACCAAAAACTGATGCACCTCTTGATGGAAATAAATGTTGTGATGTTGTAAAATGCATTAGTGCAAAATTATGTAAAAAGAAGAAATGAATATAAAAAGACTAAACAGTACAGTGTGTGAGAATGATCACTTGCAGGTCAAAGTATTTCACTTTTCTTCCCAACTTTACATGTAGCACATCTTCTGTAAAAGTGTATTTATTGGTTTGGGATTTTGTAATGACTCAGGATCTGGTCAAATCTAGAGCCTTTTTTAATCTATTGCCTTCTAATAGATACAGAACACGTGATGCAGTGCACTATAAAGTGTCCTTCAAGCCATATAAAGTGATAGACACGTGACCACACTAAGCTGCTTTACATCTCATTTCTGAAACATTATAATGACTCTAATAATGATCCATTCATAGACTCTTTAAAAAAATGTATTTGCCTCTTAAAATCTAAACAGCGACTTTTTTTTAGCCGGGAAGTGTAGAAGCCAGTGCTCATTATAGCACAGACAAAAATGTACCACGTGACCACGTGATCAATCCCCGTTTCTCACCGGACACGGGCCCGGATAGCTCAGTCGGTAGAGCATCAGACTTTTAATCTGAGGGTCCAGGGTTCAAGTCCCTGTTCGGGCGGAAATTACAGTTTTCACCTCGATCATAACACCGGAAATAAGACTTTAAAGAGTACAATCTTTCTATCTCTCTTGGATAACATCATTATTATTATTATTTATATATTATTTGTTTATTTATTTATGCATTTATGCAATTACATATGCACCTACTCACTTATTTATTTTATACTTAAGTCATTTTTTGTCCTCCATACACCTGG